CAAAGAGGAGGATGTGATGGACGAGGAGGTAGAGGAGGACAAGAGGAAGAGGAAGAAAGGGGAAAAAAGGACGAAGAAACGGAAAAGCAAAGGAAAGGCTATAGGAGAATGGGGGGGTGCCAGAGGTTTGCGCCCGCTTCCCTCTCTTTTATGACATTTTTCTTCCTTAATTGCCCACTATGAGATTTTACTAGCACAGGTAACCTGCATTTCCGTGTCTCTATCGTGTTCTGTGCCTTACACATGAAAAGAGTAACATTTTTTGCTCCCGCCCCCTCCAGAACCATTTCTGCCTCCTTGGAGATATGATCACCCCCGTTGAGGAAGCATGGTCCAGCCTGAAACACAGTGAGCCTTTCATTATAGCTCCAGACATAGTCTATTTTAGTGGGTAATTGTTGTCTCTCATCCATTGATGTCTTTTATTTCTTCTAGTCTAGAATTCTAGTAATTTACACTTTGTTAATTCCTTTCTCTGCTTTCTTTCCGGTTGTGGTTGTTGTTGATCCCCGCCCGAGGACATTTTTCTATTTCTTTTTAGAGAGAGTGGAAGGGAGGGGGCGAGACCGAGACCGAGAGAAACATCAGTGTGGACGAGACACATCAGTTACTTACGTCCGGCCCCCCCCCTGACCAGGGCTGCTGGGGATCACCCCCTGCAACCCAAGGTACATGCCCTTGCCTGGATTCGAACCTGGGACCCCTCAGTCCGCAGGCCGACGCTCTATCTACTGAGCCAAACCGGTTCGGGCTTAGTTGTATTTTTGAAGTGGTTGTATGGGGCAGCATTCTCCGGTGTTTACCTATGCCGCCATCTTGGTTCTCTTCCAGTACATTTCTGCCACCGTCCTCCAATCTCACACTCCACCTGGGAGTTCTGCTCACTCTAGGATTAAGACAGAGAGCCATCTGGTGGATGCTGCCTGACATGCAGCTGAGGAGAAGAAGTTAATGTTGGCTGGCGGTGGAAGAGAGGAAGTGTGCCCCAAAAGAGCTGAGGGCAGGGTGAAGACAAACTTGACCAATTCAACAAATACTAAATATTTCCTTCCCTAGAGGCAGTTTTATTTTATTTATTTTTTAATCCTCACCCGAGGATATTTTTCCACTGATTTTTAGAGAAAGTGGAAGATAGAGGGAAAGACAGAAATATTGATGTGAGAGAACCACATCCATTGGTTGCCTCCTGTAGGAGCCCTAACCAGGGCCCAGGCTGGAGAGGAGCCTGCAACCAAGGTATGTGCCTTGACTGGAATCAAACCTGGGACCCTTTGGCCCTCATGCCAACGCTCTATCCACTGAGCCAAACCAGCTAGGGCCAGAGGCAGTTTTAGACAAGTAACCAAAGGTATAGGGGCCATAGGAAAACTGTGGTCACCTCAGCCAGAGCTGGTGTCTGTAAGCTTGGGCAAAGCACATCCTCTCTCTGGACCTCATTTGTCAAAAAATCACCTAAACTTTCTGAAGGTATTGTTTACACTACCTGCTTATATTGCCTTACCTCTTGAACCCACTCCAATCTAGCTTCTGTCCCCAGACCCTTGCCATTTCATTGAAACAGCCCTCATCAAAGTCACCAAGGACTTCAAATTTTGTTACCAAAATTACTTTTCATTCCTCATCTCCCTAAAACTCACTCCTATAAATATGGATTCCCTTATAAAACTAATCTCTCCTGGCTTGCCCTGTCCTTTCCTGATTATTCGGTACCATTTTTTTTAATAGTGTTTTAAAAAATGTTCTCATTGATTTTTAGGGAGGCTTAAAGGAGAGGCGGAGAAACATTGATGAGAGAGAATCACCAATCGGCTGCCTCTTACATGCCTCCCACTGGGGACTGAGCCCACAACCCAGGCATGTGCCCTGACCAGGAACTGAACCAGCAACCTCTAAGTGCACAGGATAACACTCAATCTACTGAGCCACATGGGCTGGGCTCAGTAACTTCTTAAATGGACTCCCCTTCCTCCGTGTGCCTCCTTTCTACTTTTACTATCCCCGAGGACTCGGTCCATTTCTCTAACTTGCTCACTCTCTATGCTAATTATTCTCAAGTCTTTGTCTCTGACCTTCATATCCAACTGCCTACTTGGCTTCTCCACCTTTTTATACTTAAGGAACCTCAGAACACCAAGGTCAAGTCTAAACTCATTACCTGCCCAACCATGTTTCTCCTTTTCTTAATTCCGTATCCGTTACATCAACCATCAAGTCACTCTGACTGACCTTCATCTCTTGCTTGGATGATTGAAAGAGCCAAATTGGTCTAATCCAGGGGTGAGCAAACTTTTTGACTTGAGGGCCACAATGGGTTCTTAAACTGGACCCGAGGGCCGGAAAAAAAGCATGGGTGGAGTGTTTGTGTGAACTAATATAAATTCAAAGTAAACATCATTACATAAAAGGGTACGGTCCTTTTTTTTTAGTTTTATTCATTTCAAAGGGGCCGGATCTGGCCCGCGGGCCGTAGTTTGCCCACGGCTGGTCTAGTCCCACTCACTCCCTAAAATCTAGACTCTGTACTAAAGCTTCAGAGTTATCTTTCTTATATGAAAGATTTATCTCCTTTGCTCCATAACCTCCAGTAGCTTCCCGTCACCTACAGTAAAGTCCAAATTTTCAGCCTGGCATTAGAGGTTCCTTGTCTCCTTTTTCCTTCTTGCCCCCTGTGCCCACGCTGTTCCATACCTGTACCTTTGCCCATGTTCTTCTCACCCTTTCCACCCTTCTCCTAATCCACTGAGATCCAGCTCAGGTTTCATCTTCCCTGGGAAACTTTCATGAGCTCCAGACTAAGTTAAGAGCCCCCTCTCCTTCAACAACTTAAATAGCATTTATCATTGCCAGTTGGTTTCCATCTTGCCCATTTGAGCTCCTCTAAGACATAAACATCTGCCTCATCCCTGCCCTATTACTCACACATAGCATGGCGCAGACTGTCTCTCATATTGTTCTCCATTGTATATCCAGTAGCTGGCACATAGTAGTTAATATTAGGGGGAGAGAGCAAATCAGGGTGTGTTACACTGAAGTGAATTCTGTAGGCTCTACCAGTGGATAATTTTGGATTTTGTACCAACAACTCTGGTTTTTAGTTTCCTCATTATAAAATAGAGGAGTGGTTTTATCCCTCTCCCCCCAATACATATACACAGGGGACCCAATAATAAAATAGATGTGAGGAGCATCTGACCCAAACCGAGTTTGGGATAGGAAGTCTTTGGCCCTTTACTGGTTTCTGGGGCCTAAGATATGGGGGTCTTGAGCTGACAGTGAGTAGTTGCACTAGTCAGTCTATGGCCCTCCAGTTAGCTCGCGCTGCTTATTCTCTCAGCTCTCATCCCCCAGAACCAGAAAGGCAAAGATGATATATGCAGACTTCACTTTGTTCCCACAGATCTGCTGAGCGAGGAGCCAAGGAAAGGGCAGCGACCACTAAAGCACTCAAAGTCAGGGAAGTCACTGACGCAGTCCCTGTGGCTGAACAACAATGTCCTCAATGACCTGAGGGGCTTCAACCATGTAATTTCACAGCTGCTGCAGCATCCAGAGAACCTGGCCTGGATTGACCTGTCTTTCAACGACCTGCCTTCCATTGACCCTGTGAGTTCCCAGTCCTGAGAGTCCAGTCAGGTTGGGCCAGAAACTGCCCTGTCCAGCCCTCAGCCTTTCCACCTCCCACATTTCATCAAGGAAGTTGTGAGGCATCACGGTACTGTGTCTAAAGCACACAGCTGTTGGCTCAGATGTAGGTTCAAATCCTAGATTTTGGACAATCTTCCTAACCTCTCCAAAACCTCAGCTTCCCTTTCTGAAAAATGGGGTAATATACCATCATAAATATTTTGTGAGAATTAAATAAGAATGTGTGAAAACCAATTGGCACAGAGAAAGCTGAAATAAAATAGAAGCTCTTGTTATTGGGCACCCACTGTGCCTTGTGCAAAGTTCTTCTGTGGAAGAGGTAGGTAGTAAAAGTACAGCACTTTTTCCATGCACTGACTCAAGTTTTAAGAAATAAATAAAACTGGCCCTGTCTTGTCCAGGATCCATTGGGGGGAAGGAGCTAGAGCACAGCTTAGAAACTGTTCCCCAGGTGTAGTGATCTCAATTTCACTAAAAAGCTTCTCTTATGTACCTAGCACAATGCTCTGTATCACTGCCCCTTGTTTTGAGACTCAAATCACCAAAGGTCTTCAGTGAAAGGGCAACTAAGGCTCAGGCAGAAGCAGGCGGGTCCAGTCACCTGGCAAGTCAGTGACAGTGCTAGGACCCAGGCCCATACTTCCTGCCTTTAAGATCACAGCTCTAGCCCTAACCGGTTTGGCTGAGTGGATAGAGCGTCGGCCTGCAGACTGAAGGGTCCCAGGTTCGATTCCGGTCAAGGGCATGTACCTCAGTTGTGGGCACATCCCCAGTAGGGGGTGTGCAGGAGGCAGCTGATCGATGTTTCTCATCAATGTTTCTAACTCTTTATCCTTCTCCCTTTCTCTCTGTAAAAAATAAATAAAAATATATTAAAAAAAAAAAAGATCACAGCTCTATGTGAGTGGGATGCCCTATACCTCTTCAAAGGTGAATGAAGTAGGTTAGAGTCATCCAATACGGTTGGGGATGAGGGGTGGTGGAGTGGAGAGCATGTTGTTCCCCAAACTCTACTCGCCCTCAAGTCAGTCCTGAGCACAGCTCTAGAGACCTGTCTAGCCTGCTTTCGGTTTCTTCCCCAACAGGTCCTGACCACTTTGTTCAACCTGAGTGTCCTCTACCTCCATGGCAACAGCATCCAGCGTCTCGGAGAGGTGAATAAACTGGCCATCCTCCCTCGGCTCCGGAGCCTCACACTCCACGGGAACCCCATGGAGGAAGAGAAGGGGTATAGGTAAGTGCCTGCCCTGGAGCTAGGCTTCCCCAAGGGAAAGGAGGGGAGACAAGGAAAAGTAGAGACCGTTAGGCATTTCCTGCTGTCAGGATAAACTCAGTCTCCCCCAAACTATACTCAAGTCCCTCCGTTCCTGCAATCAGGGGAGACAGCAGCAGCTGGTGGGGGGGGGAATGGGGTGCTGGTGGGGGGCTGGCCCCCAGCCCGAGTCTTCCCCACAGGCAGTATGTGCTGTGCACCTTGCCTCGTATCACCACGTTCGACTTCAGTGGGGTCACGAAAGCAGACCGCACAGCAGCTGAAGTGTGGAAACGAATGAACATCAAGCCCAAGAAAGTCCGGATCAAGCAGGATGCACTCTGAGGTTCCCAGGACTGCAGCCATCCTGAAGGCCTGAGCACAGCCAGTGTTGGTTTGACAATACAATAAAGGATTTGAGCTGTTCAGCAGATTAGAAGTCACTTGTGCTGTGAAAGGCCTGTTGGCCTGAGACACAGGAGACCTGGGTTCATTGCATGGCCTTGGGGAACTGATATCAACTCTGGGTCCTTTTTTCACTCTTCAGATCAGATATCCTGGGATTAGAGTTGCTTCACAGAGCACCAGGGTTCTGTGGAGATCCTCAGAGGCCTCGGTGATAAAAGGTCAAGAAGATAGGCTGTGAATGCTGAATCCCCCATTTCCATCCAACCAGAGTAGTTACTCCATGTTGTTTATGTTGGGATTGTGCTTAAGACATCATTTGATTAAAAAAAAAAAAAAAAAAAAAAGAACTTCTGCCCTAGCCAGTTTTCTCAATGATTTAGAGTGTTGGCCCACGAACTAAAGGATCATGGGTTTGATTTCCGGTTAAGGACACGTACTTCAGTTGCAGGTTCCCCAGCCCTGGTAGGGGCGCATGCGGGAGGCAACCAATTGATGTGTCTCTCACCTCGATGTTTCTCATTCTCTCCCCCAACTTCCCACCCACTCTCTCTGGAAATCAATGGAAAAAATATCCTTGGGTGAGGATTAAAAAAGAAAAAAGAGCCCTAACCGGTTTGGCTCAGTGGATAGAGCGTCAGCCTGCGGACTGAAAAGTCCCAGGTTCGATTCCGGTCAAGGGCATGTACCTTGGTTGTGGGCACATCCCTAGTAGGAGATGTGCAGGAGGCAACTGATCAATGTTTCTCTTTCATCGATGTTTCTAACTCTCTATCCCTCTCCCTTCCTCTCTAAAAAAATCAATAAAATATATTTTTAAAAAAAGAAAAAAGAAAAAAGAATCTCCTGCTTGAAAACTGGTTTGCTGACTCCAAGTCAGGCACTCCTGATCTGTTTGCACCATCACCACCAATCCCTTCCCAGGCTTTTCAGTAATTTCACTGAGTCTGCAGCAGGGGCCTCAGCTGCCTGTGTTCCTATCACTGGAGAAATGACAAGCAGTCTTATCCAATATGAGGTTAGCCAAGGCCGAATCTCAGATAAGACCTGGGAACCTTGAACTCATATCTTGGACTCCTCTTAATGTCCCTAAAAGATGTCCCCCTCCCCATCATCCGTTTTCACTGCTCATAGACTTAAGTAGCCAGAAGTAAGCAGTAGGGTGCTGGGCAGGACAGAGGGGCTGAAATCAGCACACAGATGAATACATTTTCTTTATCAAGGGAGATAACACACCCCCCTCCCCCCCAAAAAAACACCAAAACCCCAAACATGTAAAAACCCAGGGTGCTAGAAATACAAACTCAATTCATTCAAATTCAATCTCATCCAGACACAGGTCACAAACCCTAGTGAGGTGCCTGTGAGCACCAAGTCAGGGAGAGGGGCAAAGAGTGAGGCCAAGAGAAAGAGTGGGAAAGGGGCCTTCATAGGCCCCCTAGTGATCACCCTCACAGTGTTACCTCCACCCCTTCCCAGTGACAGTGAAGACCTACCAGGCCCTGTCCTTTTGACCTCCACCCCACCCCTGGCCAGGGCTTCGAAGGCCAGTCCCAAATGGTTCTATCCTCTCTTGCTCCATCCTCACTTGTCCAGGCTTGTAGCCTCGCTCTTCTCCTCCTCCTCCACATTCTTCTCTGTGATTAGTAGCAGGTCAGGGTACTGTATAAGCCATAGTGAGGCTGGGGCCAGGGAAGGCGGGGTGAAGAGAGGAGAAGAAGAGCTGTCCAAGGACCACCGTCTTCATGGGATCCCAAACTGTACAACCAGCTCCTCTCTTGCGTCCACACGAATCTGAGAAAGTGCACTGTAGGCATAAGCAGCTATTCTGGAGACCTGCGATAGAGGGACCAGGGAGGAGAGGAACAGAGAGAGAAAGGTGAAAAGGGAGATCCAGAAACTGGGGGAGGAGGATCAGATGGCCAGAGAGGAGGGAATGATGGGGGATAGAAAGCCAAAGAGAAAGGTGGGAGTGAGCAGGGCCCACAGGCTACCAGGTTAACTCCAGTTCCCCACCTCCTATAAGGCAGAGAGGGTGAACCCTCTGCCACAACTTGGGCAGTGTGAGTGGGTAGGCAGGAGTGGGGCAAGGGTGGCTCACCTGCTGCAGGTCGGAGAAGGGGATGGGTTCGCTGGCCAGCACTTGGTGGGGCTGACTGGTGAGAGATGGCAGTGGCGGCAGCTTCTTCCAATGGGTCAGGCTGCTGCTCAGCACAGCCAAGCGGGTGCTGGCCGATAGGGAGGGGTGGGATGGGCAATCAGTTTACCATCTGTCCTGCCCTGCCAAACTCAGCCCAGTGAGCCTCCCTCAGACCAGAGAAGCAGGTGACAAGGCCTCAGCTGACCACAAGTTCACTCCAGGCCCACCTCCCTTCGCCCTCTGCATCCTTGAGTGTCACAGGAGAAATAGCGCTGACATGAAGGCACCCAAGAGGTTTGTGGTCAGTTTCTTGGGCTGCACCCAAACGAAGAGGCTGGACCGGGGCCCAGGCTGCAAAGCTGGATCAGGGATAGAGGGGAAGGGAGGAATCCAAGCTGGCCAGGTGCTCACCTGTACTGCCTTGCCCGGTCCATGTACTCATGCTGCTCCATGCCCTGGGAGTCTGCAGCAGACACGTCAATGATGTTGCTTGGGGAGAAGAGAAATAGAGAGGACATGACAGGTACATCCAAGAGGGACGAAAAGGATTGCCTTCCAGGTGCTAACTCCAGGACTATCTGACACCAGCGCCCCCACTGCCTACTGGAGCAGGGCTGGGCCCAGCTCTCTCTGTCCCAGCCTTTAACACAGACAGAGGAGCTCTGCCCCAGCCTGGTTCTGTGATGCTCACCTGGCTGTCTTGGCAAGAATGGAGGAGAGCAGGGCCTGCTCATCTGTGCGAGCGGAAGGCAGGCTGTGGTAATTTGGCTCGGCTCCATTGAGGGCTTTGGTGGGGGGGCTGCTAGGGTCCAGCAGCAGCTTCCGCTCCTCTCGGTCCTAGGAGAGATCATCAGGGAGAAATCAGCCCCAGAGCCGTTAGTCCAACCTGCCTTTCCTGGGTTCTCCTCTCAGCCCAACTCTGACGTTTAAGTGTTTAAGCACCAAAAATGTTGGGTTTTTTTTTAGGAATATCCCAGTGCCCCACTATATGTCAGATAAAACTCAGTTCCTGCTTGCCCTTGGAAGCGCAGCTCAGTGGTCCAGGGTAAAGTAAAGTGGACCCAAACAGTCACAGATGCTCTGAAAAGATGGACAGAGGCACAGCCCTGGAGTTTTAGAAAATAGTCCAGCAACTTATGGAGACAGAATACTGGAGGCTGGAAGCCAGAAGAGGTAGAAAACAGTGGGGCCCACAGGGGAAATTGATGCAAGCCAGGAGCCCAATGACCGTCCTGATTCCCCAAACCAGGCCCTCCCTAGCAAGGCTGTCTGTTCCCAGGATACAAAGGCCCTGTGAGGCCAGACATGGCCCTCAGCTCAAAGAGAAAACATACCCAAGCTCTCAATGCCCATTCCTCATATTATTTCAGGGCAGGAGCTCCAGCCTCAGCCTCTGGGTCACACAGGCTAAGTGTGCTTCCTTCTTGAGGGCAGGTCCCTTATTCTCTCAGGTGTTCACCCTCTTCTGCTCTCTTTATATGGGACTCCCAGAACCAGACTTGATGCACCTGGAGATGCTGACCTGAACCGAACAGTGGAGCTGTTCCCTCCCTTGCTAAGGCACCACCTCTATTAGTGTGGTTTCATTACCGTTCAGCAGCCCTGTCACTACTAGCCTACACTGATGATCACAACCCCCAGAACTGACCTGGGGCAAAGTCTCCCTGGTCATGTATAATTCTGTATGTCTCTTTGTGCCAGAAACTACCTCATCTAGCATTGCCAGGCATTATGGGTAGATATTTTATGTTCTTATTCTTTGTTAATTTTCCTGTAGTCTCTTTTTCTTTGTGATGATTAACGACATGTTTTCCAATTGAAAGTGATACAAGTATGTTTTACATCTTTTGAGAAGCAACCAATACGTCGATGCTTTAGGTTGTTAATATTCATTTGAATAGTTTTGCTTTTTAGAGCACGAACATTCAAATTTTTTTAGAAAATTTGCTGTGTGCACTGAGAAAAGAGGCACACAAAGGTTTATAGCCCAGTTTAGTTCCTTGTTCTAATCTTTCTGGATACAACCCTGCCTTGAGCCCATCAGCTGCAAATCCCTGCTGGCTTTGTGCCAGCTGCAGAATGGATAAGCAGACCTGCTGGGGATCTATCCAAGCCACAAAGAGTGAGGCGCTCAGGACAAAATCAAGGACAAGGGGCCTATCCTGGCTAATGCTGACTCACCAGCTGATAGTGCCAAACCACTAGACCCCTGAGTGCTCCACTCCAGGCCTATCTCGGTTCCTACCACTGACTTCCCCAGTGCAGGCTCCCAACTTCTCTGCCCAACTCTCCTTGCAGAGAGCCACTTCCTCCTGCCCTGCCCGCCCCACCCTAAGCAGGCCCAGTCTTGTCACAAGACTCTTCCTGTGCAATCCTAGGTTGCCCAAGTGTTCACAGTTCCTAGCAGCATGAGACAGAAGCTGTGAGCTTCTGCCCCATTACCTCCCAACTCCTAGACACTTCCATTCCTACAGGACAGGCTAAGTACTGAAGTGCTAGAAAGACAAAATACTTGCCAAAGATTAAACTATCTCTCAGGAAAGCTGGTTCCCTCATGAAGCCTGTGTTTGTTTCCTGTGTCCATCCTTCCTCCAGCCCCACTTCAGACAGGATAGTTTCTCCCCGTGGGTTCCTGAGACTTATCCTCCCAGAAGCCATTCTACCCACTAGAGTGGACACATAACATTGCCTCACCCACAAAGGGCAAAGGAAGCACAGGGGAGATTTTTCCCACTGAATTTTGTTCCTGAGTCAGTGTCAACTCAGGAGACAGTTTCACTGCCTACCCTAGCACAGACACCTATGTGGTCTGCCCATGACCAGCCATCTAGAAGAGACAGCTTGACCCAATGGATAGAGCACGTGGCTTGGCATCAAAATACCTTGGCTATGGCACTTCTCAGCTTTGTAACCTTTGCTGTCACTTAGCCTCTCTGAACTGTTTCCTTGTTTTTCTTTAACTTTTGTTTATTGATTTTAGAGGAGGCTTTTATTTGATCCACTTATTTATGCATTCATTGGTTGTTTCTTGTATGTGCCCTGACCAGGGATCAAACCCACAACCTTGGTGTACTGGGATGACCTTCTAACCAACTGAGCTACCTGCCAGGACAGGCTTTTAATAGACATAACTGGTACCTTATGACAAATGTCTGGCAAAAGTCAAGTGAGGTAACTGTAAAAGGGCTTTGAAAACTGTAATATGTTGTGCATTTCTTTTTATTATAATAACGGGGCAGTGATGAGAGGGTTAGAGGAGCCAGTCCCAGAGCTCAAAGAGGGATTTTTTGATAGTGAATGATTATAGCTTATAGACCAGGTAATTAGACTTTTGCCATATGAGGCTTCAAATCACCTAGCACTGATCAAACACCGTCTTTGGTGGTTAGAAACAGAAATGAGAGCCAATCAAGGGCAAGGTGGAAATTGAGGAGAGCAACAAGCCCAACTCTTCCAGCTAGAAGCTGGTATATCCTTTCTCATAAGGCAGGGATTAACCCTTCTTGACTCATTGCCAGAAAGAGTCCATATTATGTTTTAAGAGACACTTCCCATAAGCCACAGCTTTCCTCAGTAGTCAGGGATACTGTCCCTGTAACAGGCTGGGGTGAAGTGAAAGGTACTGGCTGAGGCATGCCTAACATAAGACAAAGGAAATGTGATTATGTGTTCATTGTGTTTAGCCACCCATGCTTCTCATACAAATGACATTTTCCCAAGTCTAAATCCTTAACCCAAAAGAGGTTCATGTGAGTCACTGGGGAAAGACCTTCTCCCAAATACCCATTTCTGTCACCATCAACCCAACCAGACAGTGGGCTAATTGCTGAAACCTTTCTACTGTATTGGTGTCTAGTATGTGTTGAAATGTGGAACCCAGGCACAGAGGCAATCAAAAAGGTGAGGGGCCAACAGCTTAAGACTTCATCCTTGGAAGGGTTCCCCCTCAAAGGAGGTCTGGTGGGAAGGACCAGAATTAGTGTGGTGTGAGCCCAGCCAGTGGCTCAGTGGTTGAGCATAGACCCATGCACTAAGGTCGCTGGTTTGATTCCGGGTCAGGGCACATGTCCACGTTGCAGGCTCCATCCCCAGTAGGGAGTGTGCAGGAAGCAGCCAATCAATGTTTCTCTCTCTCTCTAAAAAAAATAAAATAAAATAATAAGAGCATATATTTTTTTAGAAGTGTGGTGTGAAAATGCACAAAGAGGGAGAATTTAAAACTGTAAGGTTTCCCCAAGCTAATTCTTCTTGCAAAGGGATGTGACCTACAGCCAAATTCCCAAGGCAAGAACCCCTCTAGCTACAGGAACTCTCAGGCCCAGGTAGGGACTGCACTGGAACTGTCAAAACTGAGTTCCCCATCCCATACCACCATGCGCCCCGCGCCGGCCCAATCCGGCCAAGCTAAACCCGACGTTACTTCCCAAATAATTTCGCACACATCCTGACGTCCTCGTTGTGCCTATTAAACTCTTCACTAACTCAAATGCCACCACCTTCCAGAGGCCTGCTCTGACCCCAGACCATCAGTGAGCTGCCTTCTCCAACCCCAGGAACTGAGAGAATACACAGATTCCTGATTTATCTCGGGACAAACTAACTCTGAGCCTCAGCTTCCCCACCTCTACAACGGATTCACAAAGCGCTAATGCGAGCACAGGGAGGGGGGAAGGGAGTGCTTCCCAGGGACCTCGGCTAAGGATCCTTGAAGCTGTAAAGGTCTGAAAGTAGGGGAGGTGAAAGGGTGGGAGTGCAGGTGAGATAGGCGGCTGCCAGCACACCCCACTGCACGCCCCAACGCGGTGACTGTACAGAGAACTGGGGCTTTAACAGAAGAGGCCAGCCCGGCGGCTCTTCTGTAATATGTCCCCTCCGGGCCTCCGTACTCAGTGACCCTCGCCGACCAGCTCCCCTCTCTCCAGCAGGTTTGTTTCTGAGCCCCATGCCCCAGGGTTTCAGCCCTCATTCCCGAACCCCGCCCGCCGCGGCCGCACCTGGTCCGAGTCCTCGTTCTCGCTGCTGTAGCAGCACCCCATGGCCGGGGTCGGGCCGGGCGCTCAGGCCGCCAGGAGGAGGGACGGCGTCCGTAAGGGGCCCTTCCGGTCACATGACCTGTGGCTGCAATGAGCAAGCAACCACCCGCCTCCAGGACTATCCCTTCCCAGAGCCGCTTCGCTACCGCTGCGTCCCTGAAACCCAGGCTTCCGGTCCCGCCCCCACCACGTGACCATTTCCAACCAATGGGAAGGCGTACCCTGCATGACAAGACGCGAGACACGTGATGGGAGGAAAGGCGGGGGGCTTATCACATGACTTCAGTCTCTTCTCAGTCTCTGAGCTCGTTCTCCCCTGCAAGCAATACGGGGTCTCAGTGGTCGTGTGACCTCCAGTCTACCTTTGTGGGCCAGTGAGCGAGCTCATACCAAGTGTCATCATGATGTGGTCTCCTAAATGCCACACGTAGGCCCCAGTTACTCAGCGGCAAGTTGGGGGGACACAACGGGTGTGACGACCAACGTAGTTCTCAGCCTGGATTGAGGATCTGACACTTAATGGAAGAAGAAACCGTACACCTTCACAAGAGGAAGCGGAATGGAGCTTAATTCTAGTAGTGGAGATAGAGACCACCTTACTGATCTCTTTGCTCTTAAGCACTTATCTTCAACCCTGCTATTTTATGGCACCCCTACTATCTTAACACACAAAGCTCACCATCATTGCTTTTTAGAACCATCCCATGTCTTCCCTAGGACCCTGAAAACAGGTCCAAGTCTGTCATTCAAGATCTTGCAGATTCTAACTAACTAACACCTACTTGCCATTCCAGGCCCAGAGGGTGGTGGTGCAGGGGTTTGCCTCACCAGGCATAGCACTTTCCTGATTGACCTCCTGGACTTTGCATGTGTATCCAGGCACACTGTCTCCCCAGTAGGTCTGCCTACTGTGTTCAAGATTCAACAATACCCACCCTCCTGAGTCCCTTCTCTAACTTCATTCTCTAGACATCTCCTGTGCTTAATCCCTATTCTGCATTAATTCATTCCTGTATTGAATCAAATATTTACTGAATATCTGCAATATGTCACATACTGTTGTATCTGAATATGTAGCAGTTCACAAAAGAGCCAAGAGTCCTTGTATTCATGGAGCATCCATTCTAATGATCGCATTATATTGTATTCACTGTCCCTACACAAGTTTCTTCTACCAAATATGGAGTTCCCCAAAAAAACAACAACAAAATAAAACACCCGCAAAAAACATGGAGTTCTTGGAGAACAGGAACAAGATCTGACTCTTTTCTGTGACCCACTCCCTAGCACTTACTTAGAGAAAACTCAAATTTGGAATTAATGAATAAATTACAACCTCCCTATCACATTGGGTCACATCATATCCCATGTGCTGATCCAAGGGATTGTAGGAGAGGCTACCAAGACCTATAGCTCTTTTGCCCCTCAAATCAAGACCGTGGAGTTCTTATAAGTTCTGAGGGCTCCTGAAGGGTAGGAGGCAGTTCCAGCTTGCCCCTTGGGTTAGTAACTTGAACTGCAGGTTTCAGGTGACACCAGCAGCCTCAGCATCAATAATTGAGAGCAAGTCCAGCCTGCCTCAGGATTCTACCCCTACCCTCCAAGGACTGCCCCCTCCTGTCCTATGCTCCGATCTTCCTCAAGCAGGAGCCTCCAGCCCAGGTAAGCAGGGCCCTTGAGTGTGGGTTCCCAAGCACACTGGTTCAAATTTGCCATCACTCACCTATTCACACCCATTCGTACATTCCTACTTTCAGTTTCTACCACTACCAGTGGCCTCAAAGGGGCATGGAAAAAAACAGGAAACATCCCTCATAGCCGGCTGGGGGGAAGAGGGCTGAGTGAGGAGAAAGTGTGTGCTCTGTGTATGCACATGTGAAGGGAATTCTGAGGGAGAGAAGAGGGGAGTGCAGGGGAAAGGAGATAGGACTGAAAAAGAAATATAGGATCAAGGACTCTTCTCACCCCTGGGGAAGCACAAAAGGAAAATCCTGGGGGGGAAGGACATCTTATCCTAACACCCTGTGGAGTAAGTGTTTTGATTGCCTTTTACTGAGGCAAAGCAATGGCAGTGAAGAGGTTTCTAATGTAAAGCTGTGCTTTTTTGCTACACAGTAATGGGTCAGAGGAGACCAAGCAGGCAGGGGTAGGGGCGGGAGGATATGTCAGAAGGGAACTGGTGAAAGGGGTCCTGAAAATGGTGACAACAGAGATGAAGAGAAATGGGTGGAGGGAGCAAGGTGGAGGTGGGACTAGGAGCCAGAAGTGGGGAGAGGTATTTTGGGGTTGGGTTCTGAATTTAGCATGGAGTCCTTGAAAGTACAGGGCTTGGGATCAGACCAACTCAGATTCAAATCCTAGTCCTGCTGTGTGACTCTGGACAAAAGACTTAGCCTTTATGAGCCACAGTTTGTAAAATGTAGGGGTAATTATTTCTGCTAAGGATTGCACTAATGACAGGTAAATGTCAGGTGTGGGTTTCCCTCACTGTCTCCCTCCACCCCAGGACCCCTACCAGGACCAGGTAGGGACCATGTCTCCTGCCATTGCACTGGCCTTCCTGCCACTGGTGGTGACATTGCTGGTGCGGTACCGGCACCATTTCCGACTTCTGGTGCACACGGTCTTGCTGCGGAGCCTCCGAGACTACCTGTCAGGGCTGCGGATTGAGGAACGGGCCTTCAGCTATGTGCTCACCCACGCCCTGCCGGGGGACCCTAGTCAAATCCTCACCACCCTGGACCACTGGAGCAGTCACTGCGAGTACCTGAGCCACATGGGGCCTGCCAAAGGTCAGTGTTCCCTGCATTCTGCTCCAGGAAGCAGCACCCCAAGATGGTGAAGGGAGCGCTGGGACCTGCCACTGTGAATTGGGCAGGTTCTTGATTCTCTGTGGGTCTGTTTTTTCTCCTCTGGAAATGAGGGGGCTGGGCAAAGTTAACTCATGCAGCAAAAATTTATTGCCACCTCTTTTGTACCAGGCGTGTGCTGGGTGCTGGGGGAGAAGAAAGTAGAGGCCACATGGGGGAATCAGCCACAGTTGCTGGCCTCAAGGGAGCGTAATACAGAGGGGAATAACCATCTCCGCACATAACCCATAACTTTGTAATGTCTTTCTCTCCCACTGCGGAGGCCCCCACATCCCATTCAGGGCAGCTCCTGCCTGGATTTGTGTGAGTCCCAGATCCCAGCACAAGTCTTTCAGTCTTATTTAAGAAAGTGGTCCAATTCCAAGGTTAGAAAGATATCCAATGAATAAGTAAGGGGAAATTAAAGTGGAAGTCTAGCAAAGATCCTTCAAGAGACTGGAAGATGGTCTCTCAGAAGCCTTGTGATTGTTTCTGCCTGGACTTTCCTGGAGGAAGCAACAGTTTAACAGCTGAGAAGGATTGCTTTCGAGTTGGCCAGGCAGGTGAGGATAGGGTTGGGGAAGGGCAAAGCCAGCCACATATACAAATGTGACAGGAAGGAGTGAGCCAGAATGGCTGACCCTGGGCACAGTTGTTTCGGATGGCTGTGGTACAGGCTACAGGTAAGCATAACTGAGAGTTGAAACTGGAAAGGTAAGATAGGATCAGTTCCAAGAAGGTCCTGAATGTCAGGCTGAGGATCCCAAGTTCAATTCCCAAGGCTTTAGGATCAAGGAACCAGGGAGTGATAGTGTCAGATTTATTTTTTTAGAAAGATTTCTAGCGGCTGGTGTGAAGACTGGTGAGCCTGGAGGAGAAGGGGGACCACTGGGGCAGCTGAGACTAGTCCGAGAGAGATAAGACTCCAGCTTGTTGGGAGCTGCTGGTGGGCATTTGAGATCTCTTTCTGTGGCCTGCAATCCATCTCCCATGTCTGCTGCAATAGCCATCTCTTTCCTTAGGTCAGATCCTGATACGAATGGTGGAAGAGAAGGCCCCTGCTTGTGTGCTGGAGCTGGGTACCTACTGCGGATACTCCACACTGCTTATTGCCCGTGCCCTGCCCCCTGGGAGTCGCCTTCTCACTGTAGAGCGGGACCCACGCACAGCAGTGGTGGCTGAAAAGCTCATCCGCTTGGCTGGCTTCGACGAGCGCACGGTCAGCCCCCACCTCCCCAACTCTGGTCTCCACCCTTTGCCTTGTCCTGGCCAGGCCTCCCTGTGGAGGAATCCCACCTATGGGAAAGCAGCTCCGCTTAGGAACTGTAATCCTGGAAGCTGTGTGAACTCTTGTTCCAAGTCATTTGCACATATTTACTGCTGAGTGTCAAGGAAGCAGTTAAAAGGAAAGTCTCTGGAGTCCAGCAAATCCGGGCCCAAACCTCAGTTTGATTCTTATTAGGTATGAGACGTTGGGCAAAGCACTTACCCTCTGAATCTCAGCTTTCTTCACTGGCTGAATTGAAATCACAAAACTAGCCCTCGCTGGTTTGGCTCAGTGGATAGAGCATTGGCCCACAGACCAAAGGGTCCCAGGCTTGATTCCCAGTCCTGGTTGGGGCACATGTGGGGGGCAACCAATCAATGTGTCTCTCTCACATCAATGATTCTCTCTCTGTCTCTCCCCCTCCTTTCCATTCTCTCTAAAAAATCAATGGAAAAATTACCTTGAGTGAGGATTAACAAAACAAAAACAAAGAAAAGAAAAACAAATCGCACTACTGATCCTGACTTCTGGGGTTCTGAGGTCAGAGGAAATGTAAGAACACTGGTGGGGATCTAGACCAGGGCCTGGCATAAAGTCAGATCCTGATGGGGTCTGGTGGGGGATAACCCTGGTTTGTCCCACCCTCACCTCCAGCTCCTCCCACCCCCACAGGTGGAGCTCATCGTGGGTAGCTCAGAGGAGGTGATCCCCCGCCTACGAACCCAGTACCAGCTGAGTCGGGCAGATTTGGTACTCCTGGCACACCGGCCCCGATGTTACCTGCGGGACCTGCAGCTTCTGGAGGCTCATGCTCTGCTGCCAGCTGGTGCCACTGTGTTGGCTGACCATGTGCTCTTCCCTGGTGCACCCCGCTTCCTGCAGTACGCTAAGAGCTGTGGCCGCTATCGCTGCCGAATCCATCATACTGGCCTCCCAGACTTTCCTGCCATTAAGGACGGCATAGCCCAGCTCACCTACGCAGGACCTGGCTGAGGTCTAGGGGTACTTACTGCTGCCCCACTTCACCCCCACCCAGGCAAGGACTTCAGAACATCCCTTCCCCTCCCTGCTTGTGGCCTGACACATGCTGGGCTCAGGGTTGGGGAGACTCTCCTCCTACCTCTGCCTCACTCACCTGAGGCATCAAGTTCTGTCAGACTGCTCGGTCCCACTGATCCCCCTTCTTCCAGAAAAAGCCATCAACTGACAGGCAAAGGCCTGAGCTCCCACCTCAGCTCTGTCACTGATTTGCTGGGTGGCTCCAGCGGAGTCCCTGCCCTGCTGAGACTTAATCTGCTCTCTTAACACCAACAAAACTGGCTGGGAGAGCTCTAGAGGCTTCCCAGCTCTGGACCTCAGAAAGCCTGCCCTCCCCAGCCCATGCCATTGTGGACGTGATAAAAAGAAATAGTAAACTCTGAGTCAGAAGCCCTGCAGGAAAGGCTGGTGCAATCTGGGCCCTGGCCTTCCCTAGCCCTGGCCCACATGGCCAGGTAGGTTTGCCCGCAGTCCCTTGAATGCCCTCTCCCAAAAGTTCAAGAAAAGGTGCTGGATCCCTCTGGGCCCCACCAAAAAATAGGGAATAGACATTGGGGGGGAGGGAGGAATCAGTCCTGTGTCTTTATTAAAGAGAGTTAGAAAGAGACTACACCTCAAAGGGTGAGGTACTGGCCAGAAAGGTGGGGTGGACTCAGGTCCTGGGGAGGAGGCTGGGTGTGGGTGGGGAGGGGCCTCAGCCACCCAGCCAGCCCCAGTCCCAGACCCTGCACCTGGCTGGATCCAGGGTTTCTGTACCCCTTGGCCACCAATTAGGTCAGGGGCAGGGGCCCAGGAGCAGAGGCCCTTTCCACACCCCTGCCTACCTCATTGACCTCTCCATCATCAGGTGACTCATTGTAGTCATTCATCTCGTCCATGTCCTGCATGTCCTCATCATCCTCTGAGTCCTCTTCACTATCCTCATCATCATCTTCATCCTCTTCTTCCTCATCATCATAGTGCTGGTGAGGCAGGGGAGAGCCTGAAGACTCTACAGCCTTCTTGGACCAATTTAAGGGCTAGCCTACTTGGAGCCTCTCTCTGGAGTCAACAAATGACCCCTACTCCCCAACCCTGCTTGAGTCCAGCAGGCTGGTGCACGTTCTGCAGGACCTTAGTTCTGGGCCCAAAGCCCACCCCCTCTAGCTCCATTTCTGGCCTCCATCCAGAGCTGAGGATCACAACTGCTCTGGAGTCAGAGGCAGGCCCTTCAGAATTAGAGCAGAGCCTTAGTCCACCTGGGCCCCACTCACCTCTGAGGCCGGCTTGCCAATAGGTACCAGGTTGTTGTCTTTCTCTGCGATGCTCTGGAGCTGTGGCCAAAGGGGACACAAAAAAGCAGGGCCAGGGCCCAAGCAGGTCAGGAGCATGGGAATGAACCACTCTGCCCACAAGAAGACCCCCCTTTCCCTCCCGTCACCACCTCCAAGTGTGAAGGAGAAGCTTCCAGTTCTCAGGAAAATTCAATCCCTTTCTCTCCTGTCATCTGCAACTTGATCCAGTTACATAAGAGTTATGGACTTGATCCAATTACGTAAAATCTCTGGGCCTTGGTTTTCTCATAAGATTATGGTGAGGGTGAAGTGAAAGACTATCAGCCTAGAACAGGGGTGGGCAAACTCTTTGACTGGAGGGCCACAATGGGTTCTTAAACTGGACCGGAGGGCCAGAACAAAAGCATGGATGGAGTGTTTGTGTGAACTAATATAAATTCAAAGTAAACATCATTACATAAAAGGGTATGGTCTTTTTTTTTTTTTTTTAGTTTTATTCATTTCAAACGGGCCGGATCCGGCCCGCGGGCTGTAGTTTGCCCACGGCTGGCCTAGAACATGGCATCTGCTAGGTCCTCAATAAATAGTCAAAATTATTATTTCCTATGCTTTTTGGAGAAGAACCTGGGCTCCAATCTGGCCCAGAGGTCCCATGGTCCTGTGGAAAATTAGCATAACGCAAAGATGAGAACCCAGCTCCCAGCCTGATTATTCTCAGCTCAAAGCAAAAAGCTCCTCCAGGGTAGGTCTCTAGAGAAAGGCTGGATCATGACCAATGAAGCGGGGAATCCCTGACTGAGGCTCACCGCTGTGCTAGGTGCTCACTCACCCAGGCTTGATGCTGCTGTTCTTGCTGCTGCAGCTCTGTCTCTTCCACACAAGGCCGATCCAGATTAAACCACAGAGTTTCAGTCACACGGGGGAGGAGGGAGGGAAACAAGGTGGACATGGCTCCTAGACTGAGAGAAAAGGCCAGGTGAATCCAGCTCTCAGATGTGTTGGTTTTGATTTGGGTTACAGTTTGACTTGGCGGTGGGGTGGAGTGGAAGGGAGCAGAGAAGCAGCTAGCTAGCTCTTCTCTCTGGGAGTCAGACAGACATGGGTTTGAGTCCTGGCTCCACCACTTAATAGCTGTTTGACTTCGGCCAAGTCATGGAACCTCTCTGAGCCTGTTTCCTCATCTGTAAAATGGGGATAACAACAATATACCACCCTCACATGTATTCTGATCGTTAAGTAAGGTAATTTACTTTATGGATAAGCAAAACTGTAAGCTGTTCAAAGAGGGAAGGGATGGAAGCCAAATGTAGAGCTAGGAATCCAAAATGCAGACTGGCATTACAAAAGTAGAGGTAGCAGGGCTCCACGAAACTGTCTCTATCTCCTTCAAACACTAAAACCGCTTTTTTTGTCCTCTATGATTATCCATACATATCCACCCAGTGTCCGAAATTTAGGACACTAATCACCTCTCATAGACCACAGCCAAATTTGGGGGGGGGGGGGCAGGCGTGCAAGTATGGTTCACTAAGGCTTTCTTAAGGCATGGGTACATGTATACATAAGTAGATGGGAGGCTGAATGAACTAACATGTGAGAGAACAAGTACATTCCGCTCGGATTAAGCAGCTGAGGGAGCTGACCAAGAAGATCCCAGGGAACATGAATTAAAACCTTTCGGCTCACAGGAAAACGGAGGCTCAGCAACAGGCAACGACGGGGCTCTAGGTCACACAGTGAATGAGGCTTAGGACGCCAGCGGGGAAGAGGTCCAGTCCGCTACTAGCGATGAGCAGGAGAAAGGATCTAGGTCTAGTTCTGCTTTCGCCCTAACTTATTTGGCCGATTCAGGGCCAGCCCTAACCTTCCGTGAACCTGAGCTTCCCAGACCACGTCACCGGCACAACAGTACCAGCCATCACGCCCCAGAATTACTGAGCGGCACAGAGACCCAAGTTCCGAAAACCCAAACCGTCGCCGCAAAGCCACCGCCCATTCTTTTGCTCATTATGATAATGGCCGTGAGGCTGACCAACAGGAATAAGGCAGGGGCGGGGTTCGGAGACGCATTTACCCTTCTAGGGTTGCTAAAGGCGAAAGGAGCGGGGCTTAAATAGGGCCAATTAACTGGAAGAAATGCTGGGTGACAAGACGCGAGACCAATGAGTGACGGAACCTGTGTGACGGGGTGGGGCTTAGTCTCGCCGAAGCGGCCAATGAGCTGGCGCTCTTTAATATTGAAGGATAGTCTAAACACGCATTTCTGGGGGAGGCGGGTTAGGGGAGCGGGGTTTCTCTCGGGGAGGGAAGAAGGGGCAAAGAGACTGCAGACGCAGTCCTGCTTCTGTACTTACCGCGCCGGGAGGCGGCAGCCGGCAGTGACCCGGAAGCACTTCACTCCGCCTCAGCGGAAGAACCCACCTGAACCTGGGACACACCGAACGCATGCGTTCTAGGCCTCCTTTTGTTTCCCGCTCCCGCCCACCAGACCGGACGTGACGTTACACACTTTGGTCGCGTAGTTGGAGACGGAAATTTGTGGCGCCTTCTCTGTTGGCCCCGCCCTAAAACTCAGCCAATCGGCCTCTCCAATCTGCCCGGTTCCGGTAGCCCTTGCCTACGGCTTCACGTAACCCCGCCCCTCTGCCTAGGGGCCGTATTTGCTCGTCCACCCGTGTGGGAAAATGGCTGGGTGTCTGCTGCGGTAGCGGTGGACCTCGTTTGTTATGCTGTGTACTAGGAAAATTAATCTGCTTCTAACCCAGACTCGCTGGGTGGTTTTACACAGTTTCTGTCTGTCCTCTCTGACTCCCAGTTTCCGGTTTGGCGCTTGCGTTTATTTATGCATGCCTTCCGCGAAAATACCGTGTCCCAAAAACATGTATATACACTTTAACAGCTGATAGCTCAATTTATGTTTCTTTCTTTTCAGCCAGACTAAGCTTTAAACAGGAAATTCAGCCCAAGCCGGCTTGGTTCAGTGGATAGTGCCTCGACCTGTGGACTGAAGGGTCCCAGGTTCCATTGGGGAGGTGCGGTTGTGGGCTCCTTCCCCAGTAGGGGGCAGGCAGGAGGCAGCCCGTCAATGACTCTCTCTCATTGATGTTTCTATCTCCCTCTCCCGTCCTCTCTGAAATGAATAAAAATAAAGAAACTAAAAAAAAAAGAAAAAAAGAAATTCATCCCTAAAATGCTATTGGAAGTTTGAACACTCAGTTGAAGTACAAACACGGCCTTTATAATTAAAGTGTGTAAACATTTTTGGGGGGACAAATGTATACACTTTAACAGCTGATGCTTAATTTTTACTCCTTTTCAGGTTTAACTTATTTGAAATAATGGGTGAAGCCAGACTAAGCTCTGAACAAAGAAAATTTATTCACTGGACTATTTTATGGGAATACATAAAAGATAAGTTACGGTACAAAACTGGCAACAGTTGACAAATTGAAGGTGCACAAATCCTGAACGAAATGATCCTTGATGTTTGTGATTCCATTGCTTCACATTATTGGCAGAATGGTCACCAGTTTGAAAACACATTGAACAACAACAAATGTATTCATTTCTGTAGACTTTTAAATTTTGAAAATGAACTGTATGTTAATAAACACTAACTTTATAATCATTCAAAGTGTGTATACATTTTTTTTGGGATACCCTATATTTGAGTCCCTACTATAATCCAGGCTCTGCAAGAAGCTGAAGATAAATCCAGGAACATGGTCCCTACCCAAAATACCTCACAGTCCAGTGGGGAAGCAAGACTGCAGACCGGCAGAGGTCTCACTTGTTTGTTAAGATTGCCTGTCCAGTTCTGTATTTGAGATTATGCAAGGGCTTAAGTGACTAGTCAGCCTTGGGCACAAGCTGAATTCCTCTGCTGTTGAGAAATTCAGCTGCCCTTTCGATTAGTGGTCAGCCTCACCGTCTATTCCACTTTTTTGTTGATGTCTCTGTTCTTGTAACCTCTGACTCACCATCCTTTTCAGAGAACCTCATGTCTTCCAGCAAGAGGTCTTTCATACCCAACTCCCATTAAGCTCCATCACCCATCAATCTATTAGCCTCTTCCAGGGCTAGTAATTAAAAAATACACTCCTTCCCCAACAAGATGTGTGACCTTTAATATGACTTTTCCCCTGAATTGTTTCCTCTTCATCCGCCATCATAATCTCTGCCCAGCCTTCTTCTCTGCTTGTTATAAAGTTTTTCATTCAAGAGTAAAATTTGGCCCTAGCTGGTTTGGCTCAGTGGATAGAGTGTTGGTCTGTGGACTGAAGGGTCCTGGGTTTGAGTCTAGCCAAGCACACATGCTCAGTTTGCAGGCTTGATCCCCAGTAGGGGGTGTGTGCAGGAGGCAGCCGATCAATGATTCTCTCTTATCATTGATGTTTCTCTCTCTCCCTCTCCCTTCCTCTCTGAAATCAATAAAAAAATATATATTTTAAAAAGAGTAAAATTTGGCCTGGCCAGCGTGCCTCAGTGGTTAAACACCAACCTATAAACCAGGAGGTCAGGGTTCTATTCCTGGTGAGGGCACATGCCCAGGTTGTGGGCTCGATCCCCATTGTGGGGTACGCAAGAGGTAGCTAATCAATGATTCTCATCATTGATGTTTCTGTCTCTCCCTCTCTCTTCCTCTCTGAAATAAATAAAAAAATATTTTTTTAAAAATGGGTAAAATTTGCCTCTTGGAAATGGCCATTGTTTTCTTTCATCCGTTCAATAAATACCTATTGAGTGCCTCACTATGTGCCTGTCAGTATTCTAAGTAGTGGGTATACAATAATGAACAAGACGAACCAAAAAAATCTTTCTCACCTTAGTCGGGTGGCTCAATTGGTGGAGTATTTGTCTGCACACCAAAAGGTTGCAGATTTGATTCCTGGTCAGGGCACATATCTAGGTTGTTGGAGGCAACCAATTGATGTTTCTCTCACATTGGTATTTCTCTCTCTTCCCCCCCTTCCTCTCTCTCTAAAATCAATTTAAAAATATTCTCAGGTAAGGATTGAAAATTGAAAAAAAAACCTCCTTATGAAGTTTCTAATCTAATGAGAAAGATAAACAATAAAGATAAATAAGACATGTAGTTTAAGATTGCAGTAAATACTAAGGAGACAAACCAGTGAAGTGGCAATAAAACATCGGCAGGGGAGTTTTTATTTTTTTAATTTTATTTAATTATTTATTTATCTTTTAATATATTTCTATTGATTTTTTACAGAGAGGAAGGGAGAGAGACAGAGAGCGAGAAACATCGATGGGAGAGAAACATCGATCAGCCGCCTCCTGCACACCTCCCACTGGGGATGTGCCCGCAACCCAGGTACATGCCCTTGACCGGAATCGAACCTGGGACCCTTCAGTCCGCAGGCCGACGCTCTATCCACTGAGCCAAACCGGTTTCAGCGGGGAGTTTTTATTTTAATTAATTATTCTTGTGGGGGATAGATTTTATTTTAGGTAGGAGAGCCAAGACAGTCCTTGCAGGGAAGATGACTTTTGAAGAAAGTTCTGAAGAAAAGGAGAGAGAATACTATTATGATATTTAGGGAAGAGCATTTCAGAGACAGCAAGTGCAAAGGGCCTAGAAATAGCTGGAGCATAGTGTATCCTGGGGAGAGTAAGAAAGGTAGCAGGAGCCAGATAGGAGCCTATCAGGTCATAATAGGGACTTTGGCTTTTACTCCATGTTGAAGATCCTGGTGAAGGTTTTTGAGTAGAAGATCCACACACTCTGATATATATTTTAACAGAATTACTCCGGCTGTTCTACGAAGAGTAGATTTATAAGGGGCAGTGGAATAAGCAGGGAGACCAATTGGGAGCCTATTAGAATAATGCAGAGGTGGGGGATGAGAAGTGATTGAATTTTGAATATACAGTTGACCCTGAACAATGCACCGACCCCTGCACAGTTAAAAATCTGCATATAACTTTTTACTCCCTCAACACTTAAATTGTCTCTCAGTCTCTGCAAGGGATAGGTTCCAGGACCCACCACAGATAGTAAAATCCCCACATCTGTCGCCTATATTTATCAATGTATATAGGTGGCCCTCCAAATCTGTGGACTTCCAAACGTGAGTCAAAAACAGCACGAATATAGACTGAAAAAGTCCATGTATAAGTGGACTTTGCAGTTCAAATCCATGTTGTTTAAGAGTCTACTATATCTAGAAAGTAGAGATAACAATGTTTGCTGACAGATTGGATGTAGAATATCAGAGGAAGAAAGGAGCCAAGAGTTTTGACCTGAACAACTAGAAGACTAATGTTGCCATTTCTTGAGATGGAAAAGACAAGAGAGGTGCTAGTTTTGGGGGGGAACTATCTGGAGGTCATTTTGGGGTATGTTGAGTTTGAGATGTTCATTAGAATAGAGATGTTGAGGGGGTAAAGAGGCATAAGGGTCTGAAGGAGAGAGATCTAGGCTATCCATTTGGGAGTCAGTCATTTGCAAATCGATGGAATTTAAAGCCATGAGTTTGGATGAGATCACCAATGGAGTGTGTGTAAATGGAAAATAGTTTCCTTCAAAATTCTGAATTTGAGGAAACTAGAGCAGCAAACCAGACTGAAAAAGAGAGTAAAAAAGATTAGAAAGTCTGGTAAGTTGGATGGCACCCTGTAAGCCAAGTAAAGAAGGAATATCAGGAAGGAAATAG